GTTGTTAGAAGGTGGACGGACTGCTCATTCTAGGTTTGCTATACCTCTGATAGTGGACGACTATTCGCTGTGCAGGATAAAACCTAATTCTGATCTTGCTAACTTGATTAAAGAAGCATCTCTTATTATCTGGGACGAAGCACCAATGATGAGCAAGTACTGTTTTGAGTCATTAGATAGAAGCTTCTCTGACATAATGGGTAACGTCAAGAACAAGGTTTTTGCAGGTAAAGTGGTTGTTTTCGGTGGTGATTTCAGACAAATACTTCCAGTAATAAATGGTGCAGGTCGAGCTGAAATAGTCTTATCATCTCTAAATGCTTCTTACCTCTGGGATCACTGTACAGTTCTTAAGTTGACTAAGAATATGCGCTTGCTACAAAAAAACATCAGTGTTGAAGAAGCAAAGGAGATACAGCAATTTTCAGATTGGTTGTTGGCTGTGGGTGATGGTAGAATTTCAGAACCTAATGACGGTGAAGCTATCATTGATATACCAGAGGAGTTTTTGATTAGAGAAGCAGATAATCCTATTGAAGCTATTACAAGAGAAATATATGGTGATTCAGCATTTTTAAAAGAAAACAGTTCAGCTGCATTTTTCCAGAAAAGAGCAATCTTGGCACCAACCAATGATGACGTCAACATAATAAATCAGTTTATGCTAGAGAATTTGGACAGTATGTTTTTCAAACCTTATATTTATTACATTACGACACTATTTTTAGTTATTATGTTTCAGTTAGGTGCTTTTTACAACTTCACACTAACCCTTCACTTCTTACAGGTGAAGAAAGGATTTACCTAAGTGCTGACAGTATTGACCCGTCAGATGTTGACTCGCTCAAAAATCCAGTCATTACTCAAGATTTTCTAAACAGTATCAAGCTATCAGGTTTGCCACACCACAATTTACGTTTGAAAATTGGGGCTCCCGTTATGTTGCTTAGAAATATTGATCCTAAGGGTGGCTTATGCAACGGTACTAGACTTCAGATTACACAGATGGCTAATCATGTTGTAGAAGCAAAAGTAATAACTGGAGATCGAGTAGGTGATATAGTCTTGATTCCCCAGATAGTTCTGACACCGACCGACACCAAACTCCCTTTCAAAATGCGTAGAAGACAATTCCCGCTATCAGTTGCATTTGCTATGACAATTAACAAAAGCCAAGGACAATCTCTAGAGCATGTAGGTTTGTATTTACCAAAACCAGTTTTCTCTCATGGTCAACTGTATGTTGCATTGTCTCGAGTTACTTCAAGAAAAGGTCTGAAAATATTGATTGTCAACAAAGAAGGAAAGATAGGAACGCAAACAACTAACGTCGTTTTCAAAGAGGTTTTCCAGAATTTGTAGTAATACAAAAAGGTACGTATGGGCTAATCTGCAACAGAGTTCAGACAACTAATAATCCTGCTAAATGTTTTCATGCTATACTAATTAATTACTTCAAACACATATAGGTGGCGATATCACTTTATGATGGCCCGGAGAAGAAATTTACAGCAGCTTTGCTTTTACTTTGTTGGTTTTTCCATCTGTTGTTTGCCAAACCAGACTTCACTATTTGTGTTCTAATAGAAACATAAATTTGAATCCCTTCGTTTACAGGATCCATTCTATATAACAGACATGCTTATTATTAAGATTTAATTAACTTATTCATGTTTGTTTCAGTTGATTTTTTTATTTTATTTAGCAATGTCGTTTATGTTTTATGCTATGGACTTGATATTGGTAATTCAACTAAATCTGAAACATTTTCATGATCATACTACATAAATGTAACGTGAAACTTAAAAATAGAAAACAAACTAAGAAAATACAATTACGATAATCATTATTGCAGTAACAATTCATCATAGTTGTTATTGTTTCATTTAATAACCAAACATCTGATTATGCCTAAAGCAACATCCACAGCAAATTAAATCAATCAAAGGTGTCCAAAAATAAAAGGAAAAACAAGTTCTCACAAACAAAATCACTTTTGAAACAAAAGAATTGATATAAAAAAAAGGTTACAGAACAAACCTTACACCGAAATGAATTTTGACTGTTATATATCTTCCTCACTACATTTCTGTAAACAAATTGGGGTACCAAAAAATTGTTACACGACTGGAAAGATAAAATTATGAGAGCTATGATTGCTGAATGTTACGAGTCTGTGATGAGTACAAAAATAAACCAACCTTATTACTGGGAACGGAAGGAAGATGAACAGATTCAATCAATTGAGGTTAAGAACAATATTCAAATCAAGTGCAAGCTTTTGAACAGTAATTCTAGGAAAAATCAAGTATAGCGAAGATTGGAAAATAGAATAAAATTAAAGGGAATAGTAAGAAAATATATTGAGGTTCAACAAAGGAAGAGTAAGAGTAGAGATGAGGTCAAAACTGAGTCACGACTATACCCAGATCTGTTTCTAAAAGATGATAAATAACCAAATGCAATACATAGTTTCCTGAACTTAACAATTGACAACTTAACTTTTTTTTTATCAAATAAACCCACAACAAAATTCTGTTTGGTATCTTTCAGTGATAAAGTTTTCTAATAATTTAGAGTAAATTCTACTATAAACTTCATTGTAAAATATGGATATATCTATATATTTAATTTAAACATTTACAAAATATACGAATATAATAATAAGATGAAAAGAGTGTTTATTGAAGTTGAATCTAATTAAGAACAAATACAATACATAAATTAAAAAATAAACTATTTTGAAATTTTGTCACACAGATTCATAGCTCCACAGTTATTCAAAGAATTCTTCTCCACCTCCCTTATCTTAAGAAACTTGAACAAAGTCTTTATTTCCAAACCAAGTTGCCCTCTTGGAGGTGGTGATGAGATAAGATGCAGTGGCCTAAGATAACTTCTTATGTCAATTAGGCTCCACCTTGAAGGCCTGTGAAAAAAGAAAAACCACAAATACATATATATATATATATATATATATATAACATCAAACGTGTATAAATGTAATACTCTGCAACATATGAAAATAAATATACAAAAAATAGAAGAAAATTAATACAAGACGAACCCATTGGCATTGGGTTGATAAAACATTGTCCATTTTTTTGTTTTACAATTGTAAACAAACTTCTTAGGCATATCATCGTCAAAGTACACCATGGTAACTTCTTTGCTAACTTTGGAATCTTGAAAGGAAGTAGAACTATCCATTTAGAAAAAACCAAATCAGAACAAGTAAGTAATGATGTGCTAACGAGTATTGAAAAATGATAGGCAATGGAGTGGTCAAGAATAGGACATAGGAAATAAGCTATAAATTCCAAAACAAAAAATTAACAACTTAACAAAATAAATAAATGGACCCGTGGTTTACCACGGGGTAAAACCTAGTTTATAACCATAATCATATTCATTAAGAAAGTTATTACAAAGTAGCCCCTAAAGTTAAGTCTCTGCATTTTCTTCTATCAGTGGGAAGTTACGACACCGTGTAAGCCGGAAGCGAGTCTTTTAAGTTAAGAGTAAGTAGGTTTTACTCCTCCAAAGTCATTTCATGGTCTTCCTTTCTCCCTGTGTCTATGTCATCTCTAAGGGTATCGTTACAGTAAAGAAGACATCTTTCTTATGTGCACAAGCACAACACCATTGCTCTTATGTGCACAACACCAGGATCAGTAAACACAACAGTGAAGTAGCTCCACAAAAGCATTGCCAACTGCATCAATTACCACACACCATTATCACTTCTTCAGCAATCAGAGTACCAAACACAAAAGTAACTTGAGACCCAACAAAATTCTAATCATTCCGGTTTCTCGATCGGTTTGTTGCTAATGGGAAATTGAATTCGAACGAGGAATCTAGGGAATGATTCAAAAGGATTTATGAGACGAATGTTAGTAAGAAATGTCAGATGCAGAACTCATCAACGAGGACGAAGCTACGAACCTGAAGAATTGTTTTTTCTTTCTTTTTTTGCACTTATCGGAGCTAACTAGAAATTTCGGACTTCTTTGTTACTTTTTGTTTTGACTTTTGACTTTTGAGGCGATGTTGGGTAGAACTCGGATCCGGACTCGGACCAGGACCAAATTATTTGCTGGGCCATTAAAAAACAAGCGGTCGGTCTTTCCTTAACATATGTAACTAATAGTAACAAGCCCGTCTAGCTCAGTTGGTAGAGCGCAAGGCTCTTAACCTTGTGGTCGTGGGTTCGAGCCCCACGGTGGGCGTTTATTGTTTATAAAAGTCCAAACATGTACATATGGAGTTTAAACATTTCTTTTTTTTTTCTTTCCGTCAACAAGTTACAAAACGGAAATGGCCAATAGGAAAAAGAAAAAAAAAGATATTTTCAATTCATATACAAAATAAATCACAGAAGAATTTTTAAAGAAAGCCTCTAGCTTCGCAGCTCCTTATAGCTCCACTGAATATTTCATCGGCTCCATACTTGAACTCGAACCCTGCACTTCTCAGCTTCTTCGTTGAGAGACTCATCCTCTTCTCTACTTTGTAATTCTTCATACTTTAATTTACCCACATAAATAAAACATGTACATCAAAATTTTGGAGAAATTAATAACATATATATGTGCTCACGTACGTCTTCAAGTAGTTATACTTGTGAAAGTTTTACTTACTCGATGAAAGGTAACTGAAACTGAGGATATTTCGTAGACAAGAACTCATACACCTCATCGATCTTCATCTCCACCGACGAACATATATATCTCCCTTTCGCTATTGGCTTTTCTAATAAATATATCATCGCTCTTGCCACATCATCTATATGCACCATATTGTAAGTATCGAACAGGTACTTCTCCTTGTAATTTCCTTCTTTCAAGCAAAAAAAACGGGTAAATTTTTATAGTGAATAGTGATTACTACTCAAAACACTATTTTTGAAAACACATGTTTACACGTGTTTCAACACACACACACAAACACATGTTTTCTCACACAAGTTCTACGAGTTACGTATTGTAGTTATAATTTATTTCTTTCGATTGTCGTAAATAAATACATATTTTGATTAAAATTATAAAATTTGTTACGTTTTCAATAGCAAAAACAATATCCAACACATATATATACATATATATATAGAATAGTCTACAAAATCTAAGCAGTCAGTTAAACTATAAAGTAGAAATGATAAAATTCGACCTATGGTCTCTCAGGATACATGGTGAACCATTTAACTACTCTAGCTAGCCAGCTATATACTATGAATTTACTTTATTTGATAACAAACGTTTGTAGTTTTAGTTTCTATAATTTTAATAATATACCTTCACCTACATTATATAACGTATACGTAATCAAAGTGGTTGAATTTTTCTTTAAAATTATTAGAAATTTTTAGCTCTAGAGTCTAGACTAATCATGGAGGGAAAAAATTAATTTTTTTTTTTTTTTTTTTAAAATTAAAAATTTTGGTTAAAAGAAATAAGTACCAAAGAGCATGGCGAGAGAGATGAAGACGGAGGAAGGCAACGACGGAGATATGAAAGGACCGACGACAAGAGGGATAACGAGAGTCACAACCTCCAGCCCATTCTTGGCGCCAAACTCAAGCGCCGCCATCTCCGCCGCCAATTTGGATACAACGTAAGAGCCGCTCACTCTCTTCTCTTTCTGATTCCTAAACACCTCCACATCGCTCCAAACGCTCTCGTCTACTTCTCCTGATCCCCCACCGGCGTTTCCACCGCTGTAGAAAACGGTAACGGCGCTTGACGTGTAAAAGAACCTTATCACGGTTTTAGCGTCTGCACAAGACTTGAGAATCCCCATGAGACCTTGTACGGTGCGTTTCGTTACGGCCTCTTCGGTTTCGTTGCCGCTCTGGTCCATAGGATGAGCCACGTGGAATACGGCTTTGCATCCTTCGATCGCCGGTTTGAAGCTCTCCGGTTCGTTGAGATCGGCTGTGAATATTTGAAGCCTCTCCGATGCGAATGGTAGTTCGGTTAGGTAGCTTATATCTTTCTTATTCCCTTCTGTAATATGCATATAACACAACAAATTATGAAATATCAACTTACATTTATATCGTATGGTTGGTTATATATTATAGTTATAGATTATAGAAAAATAAAAATATGGTTGACTTTGTTTAGAAGATGCATGGAACATGACATAGCTATTCTATATATGGAGGAGCTTCAAGATCCTACAAACTGACAGATCATTCCAGCCAAGTACAATAAATTCCTCACATCCATAAACAAAAATAAATATAATAATTTAAATTTGTCGATCCAAAAATCAACTTTAATTAAAATGTTATATTTATGAACTTTAATAGGTTAAGAATATATATATATAAAAGAGGAGCAATAGAATTCGCATTTGGTAAAACGAATGAAGAAGTATGTATGATTCAAAGTGAAGTAGTGGAACCTGGATTGGTGCGAACAGTGGCTCGAACGGAGTAGCCACGTTGAAGGAGACGCATGATGAGCCAAGAAGCAACGAAACCAGTACCTCCCGTAACACAAACCAAACCCGTCCCGTCCAACAGCAAAGACGGGACCGTTTCGTGAACTGCCACGTCGTCGAGCTTTGTTCTCTCTCGTCCTCCTCCTCCTCCGTTGTCATCTTCTTCTTCATCTCTCCCCATCTCTCTCTCTCTTTCTCTCTCTCTTGTGGTGTGATGTGTGTGGGAACCTCTCTAAAAAAGGGGGTTCTTATTAAATAACGGAACCTACGTCATTTACTCCTCTCACACCTATCCGCGTGACATGTTCCCCGTTTTGCCCTCTTCTCTCTTTATTACTAGTTTTGTTTTATTATATTTATATATCCGTTATAATCGAATGCTACATTTTACAGATCATTCATATAAATAATTCACATTCTATGTCCGTTTATTACAAACATTGTTATTGGATTCCGTTATTTCTTCATTCCTTTCATCCTCTTTGTACGAATGAGCTAGCTTGCTTCTCTCTCTTTCTTCATATATTACTATAGTTTTTTTTTTTGGCTTCTAGTGGTGCGATATCGAATGTATTAACTATAATATTTATGCATGTTCTAGGCATAGATTAAGGGATATTATTAGGATTGTGATTACAATTAATTAATATGAATTGTAGTGAAAAAGAAAATAAAATAAAACGCGTGAATGAGATGGAATGGAATAGAAAGCAAAGCGTAGGCGTGGCACATGATCATGCAACTCAACTATATATCTTTATTTTTGTGTGTGTGTCTCCACAAAGCCACCGTTTTTTACGGGATGTTGCTTTGCTCATGTTGCGAACTCGATCTCTTTCTTTCTTTCTTTCTTTCTTTCTTCTTTTGTCTTTCTTTATCTAATTGACTTTTAACCTTTCGGATCGGCCCTTTATTTAATACATTTCTATCATCATAGTTAAATTGCTAATCTAGGAAATTCCAGTTTCCATAGATGTTCTTGCTCCGAGTCTCAAATTTGCTTTCCTAGCTATTATAATATGAAATTTCATATGGTTAATGTAGCAAACAAAGACTCATTTTCTGATTAGTTAAGAGTTCAACTTCCAACAAACCATAACAAAAAAACAAAAGTAACAAATGACAAGAAAAGAAAAAAACAAAGAAAGACTCTAAGCTAATCAATTATATGATTTGATAGTTTTCGTATTTTCGCCTGTATAGCAAAAAAAAAAAAAAAACAGAAACTTAGAGGGGGAACACTTTGTCTGTCTTTCTTGTACTCCGTAAAATACTTATCCGAAACAGTATTTGAATGTTTCCTTCAATCTCCAAAGGATCTGGATTAACCTTTAGGTTTTTTTTTTTTTTTAACATTGAGTTAACTGATATCGTGACTTTACTAACTTTGATATAAGCATGCGAATACTGTTGAGATAGGTGATTTGAGGTTTCGATATGTCTTCTATACTTTTGTAATTGTAAAACACCTTCTATGAAAAATTGACAATACAACAGTAACAGTACTATACATAGTGTTAGGGGGATCGATGATCCCTACTAGTTCCTACGTCTAGATCGTAGATGGGCTATTCCAAAAACTTACAAGTATAGTACTAATTCATTTTCAATCGATTACAGCTATCTATGAGACCCCCAAAACAAAAACAAAAATTGATTACAGCTATCTATATTTATATGTATACAGAAACATTGTTACTTTTATTAGTGAATGCGCGTGACGCATGACAAATTAATATAAATAAATTTTCTTCTTTTGGGTTTGGTTCACAATTCACATCACGCTTCTATGGTCCATATATTATTTTTTTCCCTTAAATGCTATTTATAAGAAATAAAACAATCTTAGACGAATATGAATGCAAGTATTATTGACGGCCTAATGATAGAGAAAACGTAACTGATTACTTTACATAATGAACACTACTGTAGTATTGTTTTAGCTTTTGACATGTATTGAAAAGAGCAAGATGCTTTAATTAATGTTGTTTGCATGAGGAGCAAGATGCTTTAATTTCAAAATTTCTGTTATAACACACAAAAATTGAAGTAATATATACTCCATTTTGACCTTTGAAGTAATAAATACTCTATTATATATGATGTTTTAGATTATTTTTTTGGTTGGACATGATGTTTCATAAATTTTATGCATACTTTAAATAAATATATATTATTTTATGAATATTTGTATTGTTATGCAATACTTCTATGATCAGTTAGATTTTTTAAATCAAATACTAAATGATAGTTTAGAATATGCGCTTTTAAGTAAAATATATGAATCAGAGTATAAAATGCTATACCATCGTAGAAGTAAGAGCAATATTATTGATAGTATCTTAGCTCACGTTTTGCGGTTAAGTGAAACTCCAAGTCCGAGTCATTATACTCTCGACGTATTTCTGAGAGGGATCAGCGAATTTAACATGCAAAAGGTATTTCTTACCCTTATTTTTATCGGAAGAATATTTAGTAGTAGAACTTAAGATTCATGTAATAAAATTAGTCTAAATCTTGAATAAGAAAAGCTGAATCTACACGGCATTGAAGTAATTAACATCTTTTGTAGAGGTTAAGGCGTCTTTTACTTTGTACCTCTTCACTTGGCACATGCGATGATTGCATAATGCATACGATGTGGTGACTGGTGAGAATCGGTCACGTCGTTGCAGGTAACCAGGGAGCGTGCGTTGCCGCTGTGTCCATGCAAACATTCGAACACAAGTCAAGCTTGTCTTCGCACGTATAGTACTCATAAACCTTTCCACTTTTAGGAAACCACATTCCACCACACCGCTCAATTCGAGAGATCTAATTCTTCGGCCCGAAAAGGCTCCCAAGTTTGAGTGAAATTATTTCAAAGTTTATTATACGTATTAAGATGTTGAGATTATGACATCAAAGCTTATCACATACTCTAAAAAAGTGATGCTAAATCCTGTTAGTTTTCAACGTCATTTTCTAAATAGAAATATTTTGTATCATAAAAACAATGTTAGTTAAAATCAAAACAATTTATAAAATATCTTTTATAGTCGTAAAAAGCAATCGCTAAAAACGAAAAAAAAAAAAATATAACGAAAGAAAAGGAAAATATGAAAGCAATACCTGCTTGTATCAACGAAACACAATATTTTAGAATTTCCATCATCTTCAGGTGAATCGTCGGAGCCATGGAAACACCAAACACAAGATCATGACTGGTTCTCTACTCCCCCGTCGCTTTCACGTCCCTCTCTCTTCGTTATATCCTTTCTCCTGCTTTCGCATCGTTCAGCCGTGGTTGACGTAACCCACCGTGTGAGAACGTTTCGGTGATCGATCATGATCGACTGCAGATGTAGTCACTATTAACAGAAGATGGAGATCAATCACGAAAAGATATGCTCTCCGCTCCGATCAATCTAAATGTTAATTAACGTTGCTGCAGAGGTCATCAACGCTGAACTTTGTTTTGGTTACGTAGAAAAAGAGAATATATGGAAAACTTTGAATTCTCTCAAAGAAGAAGGAAGAGAGAATGAATGCTGTTAAATCTTGAGCCAAGTAGTGTGTATTTTTCTTTTTATAAGCATCGTTTGTTCAGATAAATTTTTAAAAAGGAAATATACTATTTAACATATCAATCTTGATTCTGTGTGCACTGCATCTTACTAAAAGTGTTTTTTTTTTCTTTGGTTCTGTTGATCTGTGTTAATCTAATCACACAAGTATGATGTCTGGTTAGTCGGAGACAGAGTAAGAATATATCAGACACATGACATTGGAGAAATATAAAGGCAAAATCTTTTTAACCATAGAGAGGTAAATCATTTTTTTAAAGATTTGATACTGATGCTTTAAACTAGGATTGAAGCTGTTCTTATAATGAGCTTATGGTGTTTGCAGTTAGTTCATAAGGGTAATTTGATATGTTACTTTTTACACACTCACTCACTCTCTGTTTGTAGTGAATTGCCTCTCTATATGAGACCCTGTTTCTAATCTCTTGGCGAATTCCCCAAAAGAGGTTCTGCGTTACTCATGTGTTTCTTTTTTATGATTCCACCTTAATTAGTTTCATAGTATATTCCATGCTTCATAAGCATTTCATTGCATCTCGGATACCTATCTAGTGGCTCATCTACAGTAATTGATAAGAGCCCTCTCTTAACAAAATCTTAGGTTAAGAGCCCACTATATATTAATCATGGTCTAGCTATTATCTTTCTTTTTCTTCTTAAAAACGTGTTTGCTCATGCTACCATTTTGTAGAAGAAACATTCCATGCAAGAACCGATTTGAAATCTAAACAGGCATACAGGAGTTAGCTTTATCTCTTAAGATGGGCCTATTGGCATAGTAGCGATCTTAAGCGGAAAGGTCAACTATAGGAACAAAGACTCGTCCCTTTTGTTTTCCTACTCTCCATTGCTATGATACATAAGTCTGACTTGTAGTTTGACCTAAGTGCAAGCCGGAAGTTTGACCGCCGGTAAGTACCTTGAGATGTACTGCATCGCCATTTCTTGGAATTCCCCATCTTCAGTTCCATCTTGAAGTAAATGTTCTTCTTCCCACACACTACTCAAGTTACTCGGCTGTTCCATCGGATATTCATCGTTATGCACAAGATCATAAGGCGGTGGCTGCATTTGTTGTGGCGACTGTAGAGGAAAGCGTTGAAATGTTGAAAGACGAGCTTGAACATGAGCAAGCTCTGCTTGTAGATTCATCACCTAAAATACACAGTCTTGCTTGTAAGTTTCTATATATATATATATAATCTCCAGAGTTGTGTTCTAGAAGTGTTTTAACAAATGAAGAACCTGATGTTGAAGAGAGAAGAGATGGCCAACAGAGCCATAAACAGGATCACGAAGCCTAGCCATGGCCTCGTAGCATAGCGTGACCACTGCGTCAAACCGCTTGTGCAAGGGTAATCTCAGTAACATTTTAGAGGCATTGCTGGCTCCAAACACTTTATGAACCGCTGCAAACCTCGCCGTGCCTTGCTCTGCATCGAAGTAAGGAGCGAAAACGCACCCTTTGACACACTTTCTCCTCAAGAACTTGCATGCCCCGCACGGTCCTTCTCCTCCTCCTCTTCCACCGCCGTTCACGTTTCCGGTCATCATCTTCAAGTAAATAGAGAAAGAGGTAGAGCTGAGTGAGAGAGAGAGAGAGAAAGAGATGGGTTGTTTATTTACATCAAGCCAACTCGGTGAACCAATTTCAACATTTATATAAATAAATGAAAAGTGTTTTGGTTTTGACTGTCAATGTAAGTTTCTGTATACTATTGAATGATCGGCCGCTTATTTATTCATTTCACATCTTTTTAATTTCTTTGGTCTTTACGTGAATACTACTCATCGTGTCTATAATTCTAATATATCTTCGTATGAACAATTAATATGGTTTCCAAAATTCGATGTTATAAATTAAATGATCTTCTGCTAACATGATCTAGATATTTAGTGTAAAAGTTAAACCAAAGAAAGCCTACCAAAGACAATTATTCACAAGATTGTATACCCAACTGCAATAGTATACTGTTATCAAGATATACGCAATGATGAAGATCGACGTCAAAGAGCGCACACACACCACGTGTGATCGATTCATATAGCTGAAGACAGTGTCCATAACCCTAAAACTCTTTGCGTTTTCAAAAATTACGTACATATATTCTAGCCCTAGCGGCCCCTCCCCATGCACATTTCTTTTCATACTATCACATCTCCTGTCACGCTCACTCTCTTTCTTTACATATATATGCATATGCACGGACTTGAGTGTATACATGTATATATAGATATCCCCACATGAACTCATAGACATTGAATATGTAGGAAGGAGAGATCTTGAAATGTCTGATTCATAATTTCATATACCATAACCCTATAACATAACAGCACATCATCACGAGGGTTGGTTTAGATTTTAGATAAACCAGACGGCGACAAAACGATGCGCAATTGACACTGAAACACACACACAAACACAAAAACCATGTAAGTATCAATAAGTATAGCATTTGTAAGTAAGTAAGACAAGACAGGTTAATAATATCTCTCTTCTCCATTCTCCACTATCACAATCACGGTCACGATCACAGTCAAAAGCGATTAGTATACGTGCAGAGAGATTTGAAAATCCAATATCTTGACCTTCTTTATTGCCTCTTCTTCCTTTTTGTTTCTGTTCCACCCGACATAACTCACTTTCGATCCAGACTTCTCTTTTCAGTGTTTCTATTTATCTTTATTTCTGAAAATTAATTACAGTGTAAGAGACGAATGTATAAAAATTAATCAACCCTGTTCGTTGTAATCCATTTCGATCAACCATGCAAAAAATAAAAATAAAAAATGTAGAAGGGAACACAGTGGAAGCACGCGCTTGAGTGCTGCGAGTGAGGAAAAATCTAATCTCTAAAGAATTCTCAGTCAAAGAGGCAAACGGAATCAACGGTTGAGATCGATGGAACAACCGCTAGTACTTTTGCTTCACAAAACAAAGCCACGTCGTAAGATATAGACACGTGGCATGACTCACATCCTCTAGTGACTTCTCACTGTCCCACGGACGGACCTAAAGCGATCAAGTCGTCACTTACCTCACCATCCCTTCTCTAATAGTGAGCCTACAAGAAACCCTTTTATTGCATCTATGGTCTAACATTTGCAATGCATTAGATCACAACAGTATATATGTTTCGTAGTATCTTATTGGTTGGTTTACTCGTGATATGACATAATAGTAGTATAACCTACTGTCTACGGATATTTGCCAACCAGACTTTTTTTCTTTATTATTACAAAATCACAATTACATGTAGTTAACAATCTCGTAAAATATATGTATGATATAAATCACGTCACAGTGTCACATAGTTATTTTAGTTAGAAGTTCATAATTATGCTACTTAACTACGAAAACTACATTATGACATTTTTAAATAGTTATCGTCAACCGAATAATATATCAAAAACTCACGATGGGCTTTTAGGTTGTAGCTGATTGGTTTTGCAGATGATCAAATATTGAATTCAACGTAAACAAGACTAATATAATCTTCAGCATCGATATATAATAATTATTATATTCGTATAAGCTTGAATATATTTAAGAGAGCAAGTAGGAAACGAGAGAAGAAAATCGCGCCGTTCGGTTTCTTGTCTGCTAATCCATGAGAGACTCTCTCTCTCACTCTCTACACTCTAGTTTATACATCATTAGCTTCTGATTCCATCCCCCTTAACTTTCGAATGTCGTACTTAATGTCCCAAAGTTTTTTCTTTTTTTTTTTGTGTCCCAAAGCTTCTTATTTCAAACTTGCATAATTTCCTTTAAAAATAAGTCATTTTAAGACTATATATTTTATATTATTGATTCGATCATTACCAGAATTCACTTCATCAAAGGATCTCTTGAAATTTTTTATTTTTTTTCTCTCTTGAAATCTTTCTGTTGCACACATTTTTATTTTTATATATTATCATTATAAAGGCCCATAAATTTTGATGATGTGCTTCCAAAAATAAGTAATATATGAGATATTTTGAGATTTGACCACAATATTGTCGAATTTGAAATTGCGACCAGAACTATAGATCGAAACGGTCTTACGTCTATCATACAACTACTGTCGCAAAATTATCCGACCAGGGGCCAATTATTATATCAAACAAAATAAGATTTTATTTTATGATTTTTAGAAGAAAAATAAAATACTCTATGAATTATTATACATGAATTTTTGCCAGTTAGCAATTTATTATTTTTCCATCAACTCGATTAAACTTAAAATGAACTCATATGTATGCGTGTGCGTGTGTTTTTGTGTTTGTGGTTACATAAACAAGTTACAAGAATTTTGGGATTGTGTTTATATAATTTATAGTATTATAAGTAGTTTATACATACTCCATAAAATGTAAACATCTAATCTAAGGCAATATTTCTATTTTTAAGGAATCATTTGTCAGTTTATGAAATACGGAGACAAACCACTCATTGACTAAAGTCGTTGGGACTTAATTACTTAACGTGTAACCGTGCATGGAAACTTAAACAATTCGTTCCGAATCAAATATTTGATAAGTATCATGAGCTCTAGATGAATTGTAAAAGTTTTCTTGTATCCCATATTTGGTTGAACCGAAATTTACGTGCAGATAGCTGAGTAGAACGATACTATAAATTCTTAAATATAAATTACCACTAGCTAGATTGTTAAAAGATTAAGCTCCCAGTCATAGTACAATTCTTGAAAGTTAAAGTTAAAACTCTTATCAAATACGTGTATATATATCTTCATCTCCCACTTAAAAGTCAAAAACTTTTATTAAGTTATAACAAATCGGTTTGCCTTGTTTTTAGGCGACACCGTATAATTTTCTAATATTAATTTGAGTAGAGATATTGACCGGTGGGTTTTAGAGTTTCTTAGGATGATAGGATCAACCCACAATATGAATAGAATGAGTTAAATAACGCATGTGTGTATTTACGTCTATTTAAATGTAAGACAGAACAACTTCATAATCCATAAATATAATTAGGTCCTTACTAAATTCGACGAGAATGTTAAGAAAACCGGATTAGGGCTTGACTGCACGAGTGGAAGAAAAAGTTTCATCAACAAAAAGCGAATATGATATATGGAATTAACGACACAATGAGCTATAAAGAAACAATATGTCCTATGATGAGAAACTATAGACAAGTAAAATAATTGATTTTTGATCGAAAATGTTGGGACTCTTTTTGTACATCCCCAAGATTTGAGGTACCATGTCACTTCCTATCTCGCTCCTAATTTATTATGCTATTGCATAACTCGTCGATGATTGCGACTTATAAGAAAAATAAAAAAAATCTTTTATGATAGCAAGAACAATCTTTTGTTTGACTCATGCATTCATGCCCAAAAACAAAATTTTGTGGTCGACCATATTTTTACCTAAAAAAAAAATGAAATATATAGATGAAAACTCTCAAAGTTGAAGAGCTTAATTAATTAATCTTTGTTGATTATAAGCATTATCATTAGAATTTATCAAAACCATTAATTTCTTTAACACTATATATAAAGACCTATTTTTTTTTTGTGTAGTTACAATAAACTTAATTTTTATAAAATGAATTATACTATAATAAAATAGTATATATAGACATTTATTAATTGAAAAAAAAAAAAAACAGAGCCGCGTGGAGGGGAGACAGACACAGTGAGGAAGCAAAAGGAGCGTTACTAAACTTTCTGAGGGAACGGCGCGTGGGACCTACGTGAAGGATGACGTCATTCGTTTAAGCAGTTACAATCCTTATCGCCACGTGAACTTCTCCTATTAGGTTCACGTAACTGTTAGCTCCTCTGAAACCGAGATTTTGTAGACTCCCGGTTATTTTGGTTCACTCGGACTCGTTTCTAAACCGAAATCGAATTCCATTAAACCTTCACATTTTATGAAGAAATATGGGAATGGATTGGTTAACCATATAATTGATACTCTTTATACAAATCTGGAAAGATGAGTTGGCGATCAAGTCATTTCTCTAGCAGGCGTAACTAAATTAATTAATTTTTTCATGCATCATCTATAGTTTATGATTTTTGTTTTTCTTATCAGTTTACTTGAAAAGGTCCTTCATCAATTACATACGCTTTTGCATTGTTATTCCGATCGATAATACAAATTTGGAAATTCGAATCATTTAAGATAATATATCACTACGAAACGACCTGGTATTTTTATATATATACATATGTGTACTATATATGGCCATCAAATTCGGGGGAAATAGTACTATTTAGTATTTACTAAACGGTTGCAAATTGTAAGTTTTATTTATTTTTTGATGGCCTAATCTAATTGAATGTCAATTCGTAGCTTAAAATCATATTTCAGGACATAAAAATTATTTTTAATAGAAAAAAATCCATCTTCTACATAATCTCAATGAATTATTAGAATTCACATGTAAATTCACAGAAAATAAAGAGAAAGCAAGAACTATATTTTTCTTGGAAAAGATAAATTTATCACGAGATGTCACAAGCTAGGGAGATACATAATCAAACGATTTTTTCCCTTTTTATGTGTCTCTTTTGAATTATAAATGATATAAATTGGGTAATTGAAGGTTATAACTTATGAGAAAGAATAATAGAAGAGGCTTATCGCATGTTTGCTTCACGCAAACAACTAAATGTGAGAGAGAAAGAGAAAACAAAGAGAGAGAGTTCGTTTTTTTTTTTGGTTTTTTTTTTATGTGGTTAGCTTTGTCGTCGCGTGGCTTTAAAGGCTTTCTTCTCTATACTCTTACCAAAACCTAATCCTCCTCTCTTGATTCCCTTGTCTCAACATCTTCTTCTCTTCTTCAAACAACACCACTCATAATCTCAATATTTTCTTCTCAACAAATCAAAAACCCTAAACACAAGAGAAAGAGAGAGCAACAACTCGTTGATTGTGTGGGGGTGGCCATGAGCGGTGGTGGGAACACAATCACCGCCGTGGGAGGCGGAGGGGGCAGCAGCGGGGGTGGAGGAAGTAGTAGTGGCAGTGGCGGTGGTGGTGGCCCATGTGGTGCTTGTAAGTTTCTAAGGAGAAAGTGTGTGCCGGGATGTATATTTGCACCCTACTTTGACTCGGAGCAAGGCTCAGCTTATTTTGCGGCAGTGCATAAAGTATTCGGAGCCAGTAACGTGTCGAAGCTCCTTTTGCACATACCAGTTCATCGGAGGTCCGATGCTGTCGTAACCATTTGCTATGAAGCTCAGGCTAGGATCAGGGACCCTATCTATGGTTGCGTCGCTCACATCTTTGCTCTTCAGCAACAGGTCATTTAATTAACCATTTTTTTTTGTATAAAGAATTATTAAAAATGCGTTGGAAATCACTATATCTGAAACACACTTGTTGAATTAAACTAACACAAAAATGATCTTCATGACAGTTACGTTTTTTCTTTTCTTTTCCAAAGTAGCAAACTTCGGTTTCGTTTGGAAATAAATATATATAATTCTAAAGTCATGAAAATTAGGTTAAATATAAATATGAACAATTTTTTGGTGCATGAGATGAAATCGTCTGAATTTTTCGAGAGTTTGTCACTGTAATTTCTTGAGCTTTCTTGGTTATCTAATCTTCTACTACTTTAAGTATAAAGGAAAAAGGCATGGTTGTCTGGCTAAATTACTTACGAAATCTCTTAAAAAATAATGTATTATGCAATTATATAAAAATGATACGGTCGTGACAAGTCCCATTGCAAAGTTATTGAGTTTTTTTTTTTGTTGTTGCTGGTTTTCGGGAATTGGTCGGGCTACAATTTTCTGTGTTAATACGTATGTGTACCAATTTTTGTAGTTTTCACTGTCGATCGTTTCTTTCTTATAAAAATAAAATATATATTTTGGGTATAAAAATGTTTCTTTGCATTTAACTGATTTCATTAACTCCATGACATGAACATATTCCATGTAATAAGGGGATGAATCTATACGTTGCGCGTCATTTTTATTCTTTTTCACTCTCTATGTTAATACGTTACATAAATAGTGGCCTAACAACCTTAACAATCGAAGATACAATATGTAATTAGATTTCTGATTGATAAAAATAAATCAATGTGAATAAAAGATGTGTTTAATTAATTAAACTTGTAGATAAGTAATTTGCATGAAATCAAAACTTCTTGAATTGAATAACAGGTAGAAACTATTTTTAGGATAGTTAAAACTATCACGTTAATAAAGCGTATAAAAACTTAGAGATAGAGATTTCACCGGTATGATCAAAGTAACCGTATTATGTTGGCGATAAATTACAAGCAAGTAATTATTCGCATCATCACGTAATTTCCTGAAAAGTTACATGTTTAAGTCTTTCGACCAATGTATTATACAGTAAATAATTTACATATATTACTATCATATATGTACATTTTCTTATCTAACTCGTAAAAATGTTATTCAAATGTAGGTAGTGAATCTACAAGCGGAAGTATCTTACTTACAAGCCCATTTGGCATCACTAGAGCTACCTCAGCCACAAACGCGGCCACCGCCTCTATCGCAGCCGCAACCGCTCTTTTTCACTCCTCCTCCGCCTTTTTCCATAGCCGATTTACCTGCGTCAGTCTCACCTTTACCCTCAACCTACGACCTAGCCTCCATCTTCGATCAAACGACACCATCTTCGGCAGCGTGGGGCACGCAACAGCGAAGATTCGTTGATCCACGCCAGCAATACGGTGTATCGTCTTCTTCTTCTTCTGCTGCCGCCATAGGACTTGGTGGTGGAAATAGTGACCTTCAAGCATTAGCACATGAACTCCTCCACAGACAAGGATCTCCTCCACCAGCAGCAACCGACGACTCGCCGTCTCGGTCTATGTCTAGATGAGTTGGTTTTGATTGATACATCTACCCTTTGTTATTAGGAAAATTAAATTACTACTCAATAAGAATTTAATTTTCTTTCGAATGTTACTTATAAGGACTGTTGATTATAATTTTTCTAACATTTACATCGTATTACTATTACTACTGTATTTTCCCTTCTTTTTCTGGTGGGTATATCTTATTTGCCGTTATATATTTTCAACTTATTACTAAATTTGAATATATTAAAATAGTTGTCGTACGATATCTTCATACTTTTGCCTTGTGCATTTTCTCGCAAGGCCCTTTGGTTTATCGTGGGCCTTAACCTTCACATATTTTGTTGTTGTCAAGCTCTTCTTTTAACCCCTCACAACTTTAAAACCTCAAAATTTTATAATCTGCTTCTTTACTTATGTCACAGAGCTATAAACTTATGGTATACATAGATGATAAATTAAACTAAGAACCATACAGAGTTACAGACATCAACATCCTCAAGGAGCACAATAGAATAATAATTTTTAAAAGTGAATTCACAAAAATGTCGTATTCGCTAATGTAATTCATTTTTCTCCATTATAGAAGAGAATTCACAGGACTGGGATTTACAGTTTCGATTTTAAGTTGTATTGTTTTGTTTCGTACTTTGTTAAAAGGTCTCTCTCTCTATTTCTTGATGCTACATACATTCTTACTCGTCCTACATTCTATTGGGCCTTTATTACTCTCATAATGGTTTTCGTTGAGCTTTGTACGTAAGGTTTAATATATATTTTGTTTTTTTGGGACAAATATAAGGTTTAATTAGGTCGTAAACTTTCATGAGTGGCTCTGATGGTTTAAGGTTTAATTAGGTGTTACGGCATCAAATTTCATTACTTTCAAGGCTGTTGTACAGTACTAGTATATTAAGTGTTTACTATTTTAATGTCATCGATCAAATTTTAGTTTTTACTAAAAAGAAGAAGAGACATGTATGTATATGTAGACAGTTTATGAACTAGTACAATACCTCCCAAAATTAAACATAAAAGATAAGTAAGAAACGAAAAAAAAAAATCGATTAATCATAGACGTAATATTGCATTGCTTTGGGAGAGGAATGTAATCATATATAAGTGGAAATTTCGACTTGAATTAACACACCAATGGTATTTTAATGAGTATAGACGTACTGTATATAGTTTATGTTTTCATGTAATTATATAAAGGAGCTCGTGTACATGAGATTTGTTAATAAAAATCTATATGAATAAGCCAAGGAAAAGGCGAAGTGTATATATATATTTGTATGGAAAGCTAGTTATTAATTAACTTCGTCTATATATATTATTACTAATTTCGTTATCGAACTCACTTTTTATTTTCTTTATTTCGTCTCATGCACAATATTTTTTAATATTAAGCGACATCAAACGCAATCATTTTGTTGCATATTATCAAATTCTTACAAGATTATAATAACAAAGCTTGCACTTCCTTACATGTCGGAGCTCTTTTAAACTATTTGCATCTATAAATCGTAAACAAAACAATAAAAATGTACCTTTATCTCCATATTTGCGTAGATTGAGTTTTATTGTATAACTTTGACTCTCTCTGTGTTAATAATGTCTATGTTTTCTTTGTTATTCTGATAGTTTCTTCTTTCGTTGATAACCAAGTTTTCAGTAATCCATGTTTATTTTTTATTTTATTTTTTTTTGTCGGCGTAATCCATGTTTATTTGAAATATCCAATATATATAAGAAAAAATTCAAGTAAAATTATACTAAACATATTAGTGTTAAATCGGTAGATCATCTCACTAGCTAGTAGAGATGATATACGAGCTCACTTGTAATATTTTGTAAAAATTAACAGAAAAGAAACAGAACACGTACAACTGGATCATGTCAGTAAACATTATTTTGAAATATCAGTTGTCATATAAGTGTTATTTATATATCCTTTTTCCCAATCTAAACTTTCGTTTCTGTATATTGCAAGATGAATATAAAATGCCGTAGAAAAACATTGTTTGTAGCTACCGTCGTTTTGAATAAGTAGTAATTAAGAACCATAATCAACGGCCCACAGCATAAACAAATAGTATTAATAAGAAGATTATGATTGTAATTACATTTAATTAAATAGTCCAAATGCGTCGTGCTTCGATGCTTAAGTTGGATGTTAAGAGAATCGTTGACATATTGGCCATTGAGTTCTCGAGGCATATGTTCGTTTCAAAAGAAAATCAAAGATAAATTAATAATTCCAAGTATATCGCTGTCCATCACATGACAACCTCGGCTGTGGTCCATTCTTTTAATTTTTTCATTTTTGTCTCTCTTAACAAATTTCTCTATTTTCAAGATATAATTACTGGAGGGTGGTTAGCATAATTACAGAGCTTACAAAGTGGATCAATTGTCTTGATTTCAAGGTTAAATTGTTTCGTAGATAGAAAAATAAAAAGGAACTTTCCATTAGAGTTAAGTCTGGGGTATGCAAGATTTAAACGAAAGATGTTAAGGTGATGATCATAAACACCAACTTGATTGATTAGGTTAGAAAATGACATTTACTAATATATTTTATAAATAATTCAATAGATGTCTATATGACTATGTCTTTTGTCTTTCTTCAACATGTAGCAATAAAGAAATTGTCTACTGCGGTTTTAATATTCACATAATTCGATCGTTATGATATGTCCTTAAGCTATAGTGTCTTTTCATACGAGTTATACAAATATTATATTGCACACATAAGGTCACGTATCCAAATAAGCAAAGCATATATGACAAGTGCCGATGTGTATTTACGCAATAGATTAAAAAGTTATTGGGTGCCAAAAAAATAAAGCATCGAGATATGTTTTGTTTTTGTCTATATTATACACGTCCGTCCTTATCTATCACTTTAATCAACCATATTAGTTTTTCATTTCTACTTACCGATATTTTCTTATTCCATAGTTTGAGAGTTTGATTGAGAAAATTATATATTCTGATAGATTCTAGCGTTTCTAATTTACACTTCCGACAATTATTAACAAAAGAATACATGTCAATGCTTATATTTTGATTTTCGTTTCCCTACAAAATTATTCCATATATTAGAGACCGCAAGATTATATTTTTTTTTAATCATTAAAAAAAAACGTTAAAAGTATATGTGGCCTGAAATTAAAAGTATAAGTAAAATATACCTATAAATGGAGAAAGAATGTGATTATCATAGTCATTAAAAAGCCATCTCAAATTTGATGTAAATAATCTCAATATAAAGGATAAGGAAAAGGTAAGAAGTGCATATTAATGAGCATATGCGATTCACTGAGCTGAGAGATTTATACACACAACAGTCCAAATGTCTAAATATTCCTTTAACCCAGAGTAAAAAAAGACTTAGTTATTCTCAAAATTTCTTGATATCTACAAAACGGGGTTACATAACATGTTAATTAGGCTTTAGTGAGAGTAATGATCCAAGTGTGTATTAATGGTCAGATTTTGTTTTTTCTCAAAAAAGTAATTACTATAGTAGTAGTTTAGAATTATCTTAACATGTGTTTCAGAGCCACATGGCCCCTCGTAATTGGATTATCAAGTGAAGACAAGAAACGTGAGATGCGAGTGGTTAGTCCGATGTCCACCTACCCGGATCGGGCCGGGTGGGGGTGTCAGCGGGATCCGCGGGGGATGGGTGAGTAAGGGAAGAAGAATCACGCCCACACGTCCTGGTTTCAGATTCAACCTACAGCTCTCTCTTCTTCCCATGCGGTCAACCACACAATTCTCTCTCTCTCCCTCTTCGTGATTAATTACTCGAGCAGTATACGTATTCGTATATACACAGTATGATTTAAGTCTTGAAGACACCATCGTATCGTATATATAGAATGGCAAAAGAAAATTAAAAGTGGAGCAACACAAATTTGGATTTACTAGCGGGTGATCGCCGAAAGATCCCTAGATGATGACATATGTTTATTTACGTTATAATAATAAAAAATGTGTTAACATTATCGACCAGGGTACACATTATTATGTGTTCAAACATAGCACACACATATATATTATATATATTATAGTTGTAATGTTGTTTTATATAGACTGAGGATTTTGCTCAAGGTTGTTCCCCAATCATCATATCTATAAATAATACCCTTGTTTTATTTTATAGGTTTGAGTATATATTGTTTATTATATATCATGTATATAAATATGGAATCAAGAAGAAAACAAAAGCTAAGGACCTTTTGGTAGACATTATTATGAAATTTGTTAGGGATGTGTATAGTATTATTTATGTGTACATAATTTTATATGTGGACGCCGTATTATTAATAAATAATCCGACATAATTAATGAATCACGTAAAAATAGTTAAAGCTAATATATGGAGTACATTTAAAAATAATACTAGTAATGCTAGTACTGTATAAGAGATTACAATTTCTTTTAATGCTGGTCTATCTGACCAACGTTTAACAAGCTTCAAACTTTCAGTATCCAAACATTAATTTAGTTGTGCTATCTGGTAATGGAAACTAAATTTGTTTAAACCTTTATGCATGGTAAATCATAATAATCAAGGCTGTCTTTATAGGTAAGTACCAGCGATTCTACAAATTCTTTTATTTTTATTAGATAGAATTGAGATCCTTTCTTATCACAACATGCACCTTGCCACCAATTTTTTTTTTTTTTTTTTTTTTTGTAGTTATTCGTGAATTGTTTTGGTATATAAAAGTTGAAGACAAAATAAAGTCTATAAAAGGCAAAGAATGAGAAGTGGCACTGTCAAACACTTTTTTGAGATGTCTTGTCCGGGAGAATGTTACATTGGTGGGGTGAGAAACAAGAACTGAGGAAGCTTTTAACAACATATATTTTTTGGGGAAATTTGACAATTTTGACATATTTTTAAGGTAATATATTCGAGTACATTTTAGTGAAACTCTCACCCGTTGGTGACCTAAAAATATTCTCCGCTCGCCATCGTGACGTGAAAGCCACCCTTCCCTTCTGATCTTTTTCAGGCACATCCTGAAACTGAGTCAATGGTTTAGTTGCTACAATTAAATGAGAAGGGCCTTTCACGCGTGTCAGCGGCTGCACGTGCGAGTGTGAGCTGGTCCTCGCTGGCTGGTCTTGTTTACGTGAAGGCATCGCAACCGACGGGGACAAACATCCAACGGCGTCTGACGCGCCTGTCATCTTCTCCTTTCCTCCACTTCCTGTCTCTTTAGTTTTCTTTTTCCCCCTTACAAAGGCTTACGCGATTTACGAGCTTGAATCTGCCTGCCTTATCTACCCAACATACATACATAATTAATCTCTGAACTTTATATTGAGTATAATATACTACTAGTTACTTGATTTATGCTAAAAATCCAGAGAGAAAAAAACATAGAGGAATCGCCTGAAACTAAAGGAGTTTAAAGTCAGTTTAATTTTTATTTGTCTAGCTAATTGGTAAATAACAAAAGTGGTGCAACAATTTCATAAATATAACGTTTACATGTTCTTTTTGCTGAATTTGACAACGAATTAAAACATCAAGCTGATGTTAAACGTGTATTTATTAATTAACGACCAGTTGATGTTTGTAATGTAACCAGACGACATAACCATATATTTCTTAGATAGTAGTATACTTTTGACTTTGGTGAATAATATGGATCGTGTGATAGTACACACTTGAAAATAAAATAAAAATGTGATTACTAGCTAGCTAAAACATAAATCTGTAAATACTTATATACCATTAAAAAAATTCGTATTAAGTAAAATAAAAGTAGTATCGATATCTCAGAATTATAATAGTATATAAGGCAGAGAGTATGTATATACAATTATACAATTAAGCGAGGTTCTGCTTGATTTTAAGTGAAATATTTAAAACAGTTTCTGTCATCATCCAACCACAATAACGTCTCTTCTTCACATTTTCATCTTTGTCACCAGTTCAACTCTTAATTATTTCTCACTAACTTTCATGCACTTTAATTAATCTTAACGTACATATATATGCGGACTCATGTATCTTATACTAGTATAAATTATTTTTATTAATAAATAAAAAACAGTTAGTATGTATTGAGAAATGAGAATTAACATATATATAAAAACAATTATACTCCAACGAATCCTCTATAAATATTTGTAAAGATATGCATGTAAGATTATTATTTTCTCCGTTGCTCTATATATAAGTTTTGAATGTGTGTATATAAAATTGTTGTTTTTTATTTCGTATGTTCTACTACCGTTACATCGAGAAACATAATACTTCGTATAAAAGAAAAGACTCGTGATTGATGGTGGGAAAAGAAAAAGAAAAAGAGGAGTTCGTGAAATTGATAAAAATGTAATTAAAGACCGTACACTAAAGCATGTACCACCTACAAAATCATGCATATATAAGCATAAAAATCATCATGATCAGCTTAATTAAAATAATTTGTGATTCATTATACTATATATAGACTAGTAGTCGTACGTGCGTTTCAAGTTGTGTGTCCATTATAATGTTTGATAAAATCTCACGCATCCATGGGACTATATGTAGTGAACCTCTCATCCGATAATTTCACGAATTAAAGAAAAAAAATATAATAATTTTACAATAAAAGGGAGACAAAACACACAACTGAAAATTATTACACAAACAAGAGATTAAGATTAAAAAGGGGAGAGAGAGAGAGAGAGTAGAGCCCACAAAGTGACACAGTAGGTAGGACCTACACACCGCCCATGCGGCACGCTGTCTATCTAAAAAAAAACTTTCAAAACCAAAACCAAAACTAAAACTAAAACTAAAACTAAAACTCTCTCATTCATCTGAATACTCTCTTAACCTCTCCTCAGACCTAACCCTAAACCCATCTCTTTCCTCTCCTCTTCTTCCTCTTCCAAGCTTCATCTTCATGTATTACTACTAGCTTCTCCTGCTCCCCTTTCCATTTTTACATATGTACATGACTTTGTACCCTTTGATCTCTTTTCCTTTTTATTAATAATCTCTCGATCCATCTCTTCTTTAATAATATCTTCAATCTTTTTCTTCCTTTAATTTATTGAATTGAGCTCTATTTTGTACATCTTCTTCAAGCTAAGCTAAGCTATTGGTATTTTATTTGAGTGGAAGAGAAGAGAGGATATTTCGAAATATTAATTAGGGTTTTCTTTTCCATTAATTATTGTTTGCTTTTCAATCAAGAAATGGATCAGGTCTCTCGCTCTCTTCCTCCACCCTTTCTCTCAAGAGATCTCCATCTTCACCCACACCACCAATTCCAGCACCAGCAGCAGAGCCTCGGCCATGAGCTCGACCAGCACCGAATCGGCGGGCTTAAACGTGACAGAGACGCTGATATCGATCCCAACGAGCACTCTTCAGCCGGAAAAGATCAAAACACTCCCGGCTCAGGCGGAGAAAGCGGCGGAGGCGGAGGCGGTGATAATCACATCACCAGAAGGCCACGTGGCAGACCAGCTGGGTCCAAGAACAAACCCAAGCCACCAATCATCATCACCCGAGACAGCGCAAACGCTCTCAAATCTCATGTCATGGAAGTTGCAAACGGGTGTGACGTCATGGAGAGCGTCACCGTCTTCGCTCGCCGTCGCCAACGTGGCATCTGCGTTTTGAGCGGAAACGGCGCCGTCACCAACGTCACCATCAGACAGCCGGCGTCAGTACCTGGCGGTGGCTCATCTGTCGTTAACCTACACGGACGTTTCGAGATTCTTTCTCTCTCGGGATCTTTCCTTCCCCCACCGGCTCCACCAGCTGCGTCGGGTCTAACGATTTACTTAGCCGGTGGTCAAGGACAGGTCGTTGGAGGAAGCGTGGTTGGTCCACTCATGGCTTCAGGACCTGTGGTGATTATGGCAGCTTCGTTTGGGAACGCTGCGTATGAGAGGTTGCCGTTAGAGGAAGATGACCAAGAAGAGCAAACGGCTGGGGCGGTTGCTAATAATATCGATGGAAACGCAGCGATGGGTGGTGGGACGCCAACGCAAACGCAACCGCAGAATCAGACGCAGCAGCAGCAACAACAGTTGATGCAAGATCCGACGTCGTTTATACAAGGCTTGCCTCCGAATCTTATGAATTCTGTTCAGTTGCCAGCTGAAGCTTATTGGGGAACTCCGAGGCCATCTTTCTAAATCGCTGAAAAACACAAAGTTAGATACGTTTCGTTGTTTTTAATTTATAATCTCTCTTCTGTCAAATTTTAATATTTTTTTTTTTTTATCTTTTTACTTCTTCTTCTTTGTTTTCTAAAGATAATTGTAGTCTTTGACGAAGATTCGTGGTACGTATGAATCGGAGAGAATCGTTTTGGTCATGGGTTGATCAATTTTTTAGGTTTGAGATGGGGTTTGTGTTTTGCGTTGACTAGGAGTTTATAAATGTTTGATTTCTGAGTTTTTCTAATTTCATATGTGTTGGTGATAATTAGCTTTACGTCTATATATGTTGAATTACAGTGCATATAAGCTATGATATCATTGAAAGGTTATGACAAAGGTTAATTAAACAGGTTACAAACAATGTCAAAGTGTTATTACCGTTACTTTTTTAAAAAGAGGTCAAATAATGAATTTTTCATGTCCGTTATAACACTCAATTTCCGAAACCACATTGGTTGTTCCCGTTCAAAGATTTAACAAAATTTATTTTTATATATGTAGGAGTATAAAATTATAAACGGCTATAGATGGATATTTATAATTTTAAGCTGGAAGATAATAATAAGGAAAAAGAAAAAGAAAAAGATGATTGTTCCGAGGTTGGTAAGAAGATGGTGAGGCAAGAAGCATAATGACAAGAACAAGACTTGGGAACAAGGTGATTGCATTTGGCATATGTACTTTATATTTACACATCTTACACGGAAATTTTCGTATAATAATATCCAAACTAGTTTTCATAATCATTAATTAATTGGGATATATGGAAGAGAAAAGGGAAAGGGTCGAGTGGAAGAAATATACTACTAATAGATTCTAGACCGTAACTAGGAGGAACATGAAAATGATGATTACATACATCGACCGACGACTCAACTGAGTAGATAAATTTGGGGAAGTAAATAATAGAATCTGTGTTGTTGAGAGTGTGTAGGGTTTTGAAAGTGAGAGACGAAGAAAGCAAGCAATTAAAGAGAAGAGCATTGGGTGATGCACCGACGCACGTGCGTGTCTCTGAGTCTGAGCGAGAAAGAAGAAAAAAGTTCCTTTACGAGGCGATGAGTGAAAGTGAGAAGAAAGAGAGAGAGATAGAGAGAGTTACTTCCTTACTTCCAAAGCCACCTCCCTCCCACTTTGCCCATCATTCATTCATTCTATCTCTCTTTCTTCGTTTTGTATTTATGAATCATACTATACTATAGCTCTCCACCATTTTATTTTTTTTGTATAATCTATGTCCTAATTTAACAACTATTATCAATCATAAGGATATTGATCCAAACACACAATCAAGATTTCGAAAAATGGATGATATGTAGTAATCCTAAATGGGACATTTTTAAAAATGTACTAAATTTTATACAAAATTTGACAACTACACTATGTATTATTGTTATTTGAAAACTATACTTTTTAATATTAAAATGGACGAAAATACCCTTTTATTTAATCACCAATATTAAATAAATTAATTAAAAAATAAAATTTTAGTTTTAAAAATACTTTTAAATTTTAAAATTAAAAACGTATTAATATTTTTAATAACTAATAATTATAATTTTTTAATATTTTTTTTAAAAGTAATAATTATATTAATTTTTTGGTCAATACAAATATATAAAAAAAAAAAGATGGCCAAATTTTACTTTATTAAAAAATATGTATTTTAAGATTATGTAATCAATAATATATATATATATATATATATATTATTTGATAGACTTATTTTATTCAATGTTGATTTATTAATAAGGTTGATATTTTGAACTATTGATTTGTCTATTTACTTATGTTGACTTGTTTTTATTGTTGTTGACATATATTACAAGAGTCGACTTATATTTTGTTTCGTTGTTTTTTAATACTGTCGACTAATTTATACCGTTTACTT